CGCGTACATTTCATCAACGTGAGCGCTGCGGGACTGTGCTGTGATGGTTTAGACCCGGCGGAAGAAAGCTGTAATGGATTAATTCCTGTTGAGACCACCAAACTGTGATCATTGTCTTCCTGACGTGTAAACTTGGTTTGGGAAAGGTTTTCGGAGGTTCACCTTCAAAAACCACTGAGCAGAACGTTTTTGTTATCATATATCCATTTTTCATCACAAGTTACGATCCGATGAAGAAATGGATCAATAGCGTTCCTTCTTAGGAGCGAACTTGCAACCTCCAGGCGTCTCAACTGCTGCTGCTCCGTGAGGTGATGCGGCACCCATTTGTCAAGTTTTTTGACCATTCCAAGCTGTTTAAGGTGATCAGCAACAACTGTATGGGAAACACCGACATTCTTGGCGATCTGGCAGAGGTTGACGCCGATCTTTTTCAACTGCTTCCATCAAAACTTCGGGATCAACTAGCGATGGTCGGCCAGCTCGCTCTTTGTCTTCCAGCGAATCGTCTCCATTTCTAAACTTTTGAAACCAGCGACGAACCGTTCGTTCCGATGCAGTGCCTTCTCCCCAAGCCATGTTCACATTTGTGGTTGCCTCCGTTGCCGTTCGACCAAGTTTGAACTCATGAAGTAAAAACGTTCGAAAAGCAGTCTTATCCATGCTGCAAGAAAACGTTCCCATTATTTTCAAAACTATGGAATTTCGGAGGAAGTATTATTTTAGAAAGAGCAACTCTTTGCTTACCTAAGTAGCACAAGATGTCAATTGGTATAATTGAACACACGACGAATATCGATTTTATATGAAAAACGCGCGCGAACGGCCAGAACTTCCCTTACAACCTAATATTTTTTAAACAGTTATTGTTAGCTGATATTATATCACGATAGTACTGAGGACTCGTGTACACGTTTTGGACTCATTTAAAACTCCATTTAAGCATTGGCTCGACATTTTCAGTATCGGTCCTTCAGAGCAAACAAATTTTCAAGCGCTTCAGTGATAGTCGGAAGAAGCCTAAAGAAAAGAGAAGGGCGGTGGGAAACAGTATCTCACCGAAGCTCTCACACTCTACCATGTGATGTTGCATGCTGTCACAAATGAAAGAATAAGGACCCCGTCCCTGCCTCGTCTGGCAGAAAGAGTTCGCAATACAGCATTTCCTCCAAGTCTTCGAAGCAGCACAACAGAATCACAACAGTGAAGTTCTGCTCCCGTATGAACAGGCAATGTCTCTCTCTCGCGAGAAGGGCAGAACCCCTTATAGTTTTCGTGCGTTGAGCCTTCAATCATCGTTTTGGAATGAGAACACTTGTGATTGCACGTGTGACATCGGGTCACGCCAGATCAGCGGTCTGACGATGGAACAATCGTGTCAAGCACGATTTCTCTAGTTTATTGAGAAGATGCAGTTGACGAGAGCCTGGCTTCTTCTCCATCGAGGTTGACCGGCCAACACTGGCGGCTGTGTTTCACTGAGAATGTCTTCGCTAAATGTACTGTGCAATAGTGCTAACCCAGCAGAAGATGACGATGCAATCTAGGCCTTCCACAATAGCGGCAAGGTCCACCGTAGAATAGCCAATCACTAAACACTTCAGCTTTAACACTGAGAATGCTTCATAAGCAGGTGATTAGTGGAGGACAGCCCAGCTTCTCGTGGAGAACGGCGACGGATCCAAATGCGTGTCTCAGATCTCAGAACCCTAAACTAACCTGATAGTGATAGCCTATGATATTGCCTCCAGAAAATGAGCTCATACCACTGCCAGAAGCGAATCACTGCCTTGAAAGGGGTCAATTGAATGTATTTTAGGGTTGACGTTGACGACCGCCATTGTGCGCGTACTGCTTCAACTTTTTTCGTATTCTCTCATCAATAGGCAGCAATCCTTTAGCGTTTTCATTATCAGTAATGAAGAAATAGTTTTTTTCGGATCCAATAATGTACATGGACCGTTGTGGAACAGGAGAAAACGCCAAATAAATTAAGGAAAACTAGTCTGCCCATGCGAAAGTGTGGTATGACATCATACCACGCGGCGTCAGCGTTTTAAGCAATATTATTGCCGATCCAATATCGAAGGTTGCCTTTTTGAGTAGTCAGACGTTAAAATAACGGTGTTGAAAGTTTCCAGACCTACAACTATTCAAACTTTCGTTTTATATTTGCAGAGCCCGCTATCAACGGATTCCTCACCAAGCCCAGTGGTACCGTTCCGATCACTTCTCGAGGACCGTACACGGAAATTGTCTCCGTCGGAGTTGCCATCTGAGCGCGGTATCATCACGTTCACTCTCAGCTACGATCCAGTATCACTTGCACTGCAGGTTTGTTTTGCTCTCCAATCGAGTACTTCGAAAGAGATCCGAGTTTCACGAGCAGAAATAAGCCTATTCATTGCGTCCATGTGCGTCATTTTATTGCTCGTCAGCGCACTTTCACCCTGTGACGGCTGCATCAAATGCTACCATCAGACGCGTAGGCATTGCACTTTAAGCCTCAAAGACAGTGCTCGCGATGAACGACCATGTCATGTTCCCTTCCAGTGTAGCATACGATAGAGACGTTGGCTGGACGAGCTCCCATGGGCTGTTCCAGAGCCCTAAGTAAGAATGATCTAGGAAATTTCTTGGCTACTTAAGGAAATACACATTCTCTCAGCACATACTCCATCCAGTTGCTATTTTGACAAGTACTTTGTCGACTTCCTTCGTTCTTTGGGATGGATTGCAAGATGGGCAAGGTGTGCATAAGTTAGGTTTCTTCACCCTGTTTGTCACGGCTCCGCTCCTCTGGTAACGTCTGTGAACCTCAATCGCAATCTGCCAAAACTCGTCTGTGGATGATGCCGTCCGTTGCCTTCGCTTTCAAAAAAAAGCAGATCAAATTGAAAATGAATCGATCCTTCCAGTATGAAGAGGTTACTTAGGTGCTACAACCGAGAACACATCAACATAACCCCTACTATTATGGGGCTTTCTTCTAATGACATCATTCAATCCATAGTTTGCAGAGCATCGATTGAAATTTCCACAATGTTCCAGTATCGCTAACAAAAACTCTAAAAATAGATAAAGCTCGTTCTCGTGTCGCTTCTCGACGAAAACAATTATCTCGTGCCGCACGTCATTGCCGATTATCCATCTATTCGCAGCCAAAGTTGGAGCAAAGTGAAAAGCAAATAAGTGCCTTCCACGTGAGAGAGTTGTCACGAGCTCATGTGCTGGGTGACCAGGTAAATGCCCACGCTGGCTCAGCCAGCTGTAACAAATTATGTTAAGAGCAAAAGCCATCGCATAGGGACGGTCAGCTGAAAATTCGTCGATGTTGTCGGAATGGGGCGCTCACATATAGCCTGACTTCACTGTTATTCATAAGACGTTTTGATTGCACTAATAAGCAGCAGAGAGCATCGTCCATGTGAAAATTAATATCAATTGCTCCTTTTTGTACGCATAGCTTATTGCCTAGGGATAAGAAAGCTGCGGAAAAATCCTTGAACACTTTTCGAACATGATCCATTTTTATTATTTTCCCCATAATAAGTTCTTACTCCGCTATTTTAGAACGAGATTGCGATATAATCTTGATTTCGACGAGTTTTGAACAGTTTTCGATTGAAGAGTCTTCGACAGTTTGTGATGGTGCTCGGAACGAGTTGTCAGATGCATTAGAAGTTGCTTTATTGAAATAATTAAAGGAATTCACGATAAGAACGAAGGTCAAAGAAGGGGAAATTGCATAGTTGGGAGACAGGCGGACCTCCTGAGGGTGCTGACCGACGCGCAGTTAGCAGCGAAAATTTGACCTCGGCGATCTAGCATGGCTCACTCTTGGCGCGGGCGGGGCACGCCCTGACATCATGGATCCTTGGCCGAGGTCTATCTTGATGCAGAGTACGCATCATGCGCAACTCAACGGCAAGGGCATGGTCCCATTTCTCCGATTGACGCGTTCAAATGGCTTCTTCTTCATCCTTGCTTCACTGATCACCTCTACCCTTATTTTCAATGGGCTAACTTTTCATCGTAAATTCTCGCTCCTAAGTGAACGGAGGATTTCACACTCTTGATAACATCGCCCTCCGGCAGTAAATCTCTCTGCTAACGAGGAACTGGAATGCCATGACGAACAGCAACATCCTTTCACTTCCCTAGAGTAATTGTAGCCTTCATTAACGCTCGCCGCCCAATCATTGCACGGCTACAGAGAATTTGCTTCAACTGCTTTAAATAGCTAGCATGTCGGGTGGTGGAGGGGTTAACCTCGTGGTGAGCTCTGAAAGTATTGCGGCGAAGATTGAGTTGGAAGCTCCATGCTGTTGTGCAGCTTGGTGATAAGGTTTAGGATCGTTGAGAACTCTAAGGAAGAATGTAAAGTTTTCGCATAGTCTATACTCTCAGGTAAAGGGTAGGTGTGAAATAGATGATTACTCTTGCAACCCATGGATTAGCAGGGTCAACGTGCGTTCCACCTTTTAAAATCTTCGCGCCTTCCTATTTAATGCATCTCGATGCGACTCCCCACCACCAACATGAGACTCAGGATGCCCCCATAATACGACCACCCCTCTTCCTACCCCGACCACCACTCTCACCAGAATGACTGTTTCTATAGCATTTCATTGTGGGACCAGTCGAAACACACACTACTTCTCCAAAAACGGCTTCGAGCCGGGGGGTAAAGTCTTAGACAAGGAGGGGGGCGACAAGATCGCAATTTCCCGCTCTCACGCGGGTCGTCCAAGTTGCTACAAGAGGGCAACGGTCTATTTTTGATGAGTTTTAGGAAGGGGGGTCAGATATTTTGATGAGGTATATTTTGAAAATGAGGTCTGTGAGGGGGGTCCGTTCTTTGAAGACCCAAGAGGAGAGTGCGCGGGAGAAATTGCCGTTTAGCGCGCGTATATACGCCCCCTTAGAAATGAAGCGTGGATAAAGGAGAGGGTAACTTGGTGAGAAGTGAATTTAGGCAATATGTATTTTAACCGTATCAGAGTGACATATCCTCCCTCCCCCCCCCGCTCCCGCCGACGCATTTGAGAAAAGTGGCGATTTCGTGGTCGAATGAAGACGCAAATGAAATACTAATAGCGAGGAATATGTGGTACAGGTCGAGAGGGGTCGACAAATCCACTTGTGGAGGGGTCGTAAACATCGAAAAGTAGCAATCGATAGACCCGACCCGCTCTCCTATGCTACGCGCACCAATTAACACCCACCAAATCCCTTTAAAACCAATCTAAATCGCCTCAACCCTCACCCAACCAATTACTAACTCCCTTGAAGGCAACCCCTTCCCGAAATCAACCACCAATGTGACCCACTCGTTCGAATAGTGCGAACGCACGTTTATCCTGATTGATGTCGATGATCTAGCATTACGCGGTTCTCATTTCAGGAGAAGAGAAGGACAAGAATGGAGACTAGTCTCAACCTTCGCAGTTAGCGCGAGCGGCACTCTTGTTTATGCTCATAAAATTTTGCGCTATTTTCGTTAGGTTCAGTCATAAATATGCGTGCATGAGCTCAAACGCTCAGGAAGCACGGGGTGGCTTCAGCGATGCAAGCAGTCCAAGTAATGTGCCCAAAATCACGTCCCACTGCAGTTGTCTTTTTGCACAGTGCGATCAAGTGCACGTATTTCTTTGTCTAGG